TGTGGGCTTTGTTGCTTCTGAGCTAGATGGCCACTTGTTTACCTTCAAGCTTTTAAGACCCCAGACGCTATATCTTTTGATAGCCGGGCCCCATCAGCTTTCTTCACCACATTTGCTTGTTCACCTGCTTTGTCTTCAGCGGTTGTGTCAGGAAGGTGAGCATCATAGAATGCCAATGTAATAGAAGAAAGAATTCTTGCGTTGAGGGAGTGGAGGCCCAATGAGTGGAGGCCCAATGTCCTTCTGCTACCTTAATACTAAACTTATAAATATAGGCACATAGATCACCAAAGGGACTGTAGAATGTCTTTATGTCTCACCACTCTCCAAAATCATACTTCGGCAAATTTTCTCTCTTGGCCTCTTTGGTGAAAATAATTGACTCTGCTGTTGTAGATGATAAATTGCATCTCTCGTATTTTAGACAGATTCTTTTAAATACTCTCAGTGGAAGAAAGATTTAGATTTGTCTCTCGAAGTGAAATTTGAGAGTTTTCAAAAAATCAAATCTTGTGTTTGAGATAAGATCTTAGGTTTTTCAAATTTTTTGTTGTTGCTTATTTTGGGAGGAAGGGCTAGCAAAAATAAGATCTGACATTTTGAAGAAAGGAATGTTCTTATTTGACTTATAAATTGCCTGAACTAGTTTCAAGAGAAAGATTCCAACGTTGTTTAAGGTAGGAATTGACATGAATTGATAGAAAATTACAGCTTCCAAAGGTTTTTTGAATTGAATAATGCTTATTTGGATGTGATTGATTTGGTATGGTTGTTTTAAAATGTAATCATTGTTAAGACTTTATCTTAAATAGGCTTATTTCATAGGGAGGGTACCTTAGAACATAAATAATCTCAGTTTAATTTAGACGGGATATTTTAAATTAGATACTTACTTTAAAATTTTCTTCCTTTATGAAAATGCATTTACCCAAACTCACTGGCATTGTGTCATAACAACCCTGTACAGTGGCAGAGACCATAAATCTTTATAGGAATAGACACATCTTTCTCCCTTGGAGAGCTTAGCAGGTTTGAACTGCCAACCTCGTGGGTGGTAGCCCAGCACCTAGCTTACAGAGGTGCCAGGGGTCCTTTTCCTTCTTGATATGAGCAGACTATCCAGAAAGGAGAAAAATATATATATATATATTTAAGATTCTTATTTATTAAGTGAACATTACTAGGATCACATTTACAGGGCCTATTATTTTTCTACCCACCAGATATAATTTATTTTCAGTTGTTGCATCTAAATATTATCTGTATATAAGACTATAAATAGAATGATCCAAAATTTTGAATATTAACCAGTCACATTTAAGTACATCTTGTATTTTTAAATTTCAAAATATTTAAATTCAGAACACTTTATATATTATAAGAGAACATTTTATATATTTTAAGCAACAAATTAATTCCCATATATGTATTCCTGTAAACCTAATGTTAATACAAGGCTTCCCCCGCCCCCCCACAATGCTTGATGTATTATAAATCAGATAATTTACAAAGGTATATTTGAAATTCCAGCATTATTAAACTGCTCACTGAAGCAAGTGTCTTTTCACAGCTTTTCAGCATGAAATTGCCTTGTTTTAACCAAACCATCATATTTCACTTTCTATCATAAAGGAACTAATCGTCTGATCCGAGTTTACTATAAAGGGAGGGATGGTAACAACCTTTGGGAGTAGCATAGGGCCCTGGGTGGGGCAAGTGTCTGCCATCAACGTCTGTCCTGTAGGTGGGTGATTAGAACCTATAGAAGCAAGGCTGGCTGCTGTTTCATAAAGATGGCAGCCAGCCAAACCCAAGGGACAGTTCTCTAATACACGGGGCCACCATGATGTGGAACTGACAAAAGGGCAACAGTTCGGGTTTAGGTTTGGTATGGGGGGGAGCACCTCTCCTCTTCAAATGTTTCATGTGTCTGCGTCTTGTGCTCTGCAGAGAAATGGTCAATGCATGGTTTGCTGAGAGAGTTCACACCATCCCTGTCTGCAAGGAAAGCCTCCGAGGCAACACGGAATCCTGCTCTTGCCCCTCGCAGCAGACCACTCGTGCAGACAGCAGTGTCCCGGGGACACCGACCAGGAAAATCTCCGCTTCTGAGTTTGACCGGCCCCTTAGACCCATTGTTGTCAAAGATTCCGAGGGGACTGTGAGCTTCCTCGCTGACTCAGAAAAGAAGGAACACATGCCTCTAACCCCCCCAAGGTTTGCTCATGAAGAAGGGGACCAGTGCTCGCAGCTCCTGGAACTAGTGAAAGATATTTCTAGTCATTTGGATGTCACAGCCTTGTGCCACAAAATTTTTTTGCATATCCATGGACTCATCTCTGCTGACCGCTACTCCCTGTTCCTTGTCTGTGAGGACAGCTCCAATGACAAGTTTCTTATCAGCCGCCTCTTTGATGTTGCTGAAGGCTCAACGCTGGAAGAGGCGTCAAATAACTGTATCCGCTTAGAATGGAACAAAGGCATTGTGGGACACGTGGCCGCACTCGGTGAGCCCTTGAACATCAAAAATGCATACGAGGTAAGTAGGGAGCCATCCGAGGACAGGTGGGTGGGAGGCAGGCGGGTGAGTGAGAATTACTGTGTTGAACGGTGGAGGGACTTGAAACAGGAGAAACAGATACAGTAATTGGCCTACTTATTTAAAACGACTCTATCGAAGAGGTTCCCCGTCTCTTAAATGCGAGAGTTTAGAGAGTGTCTATAAAAAGTCAAAGATAGGGTCCTGAGGAAAATCCTGTCTTGTTTCCTCCTTAATGATAGTTTAAGATAGCTCATCTCATTGTCATCTTCTCTTAGCTTTTTACCCAGTTTTACCTAATAATGACTGACTAGTCATCATGCTACCTTCACGAGAACTTCTGAAGATTTTGTCGACATTCTACAATGGTAGGCTTAAAATAAACGAATCAAAATCTGTTGGAACAAAAGGAAAGAAAGAGCAGCCCATCAAAACATCTCTCTTCATCAATTCATTGAGCCATATTCATCCAAAATCAAAATTGATGCCACAATTACATGTTCTTCCTTTTCATTCTCTATTTGACCTGTTTGCTTTTTAAACAAATAAGACTGGACTTTTTTAGTGGTCATTTTTACACTAAGGTTTTCTATCCCGTTTTCCCCCTCTAACTACCACTAGTCTTTAATTACAGTCTTAAGGATTACCTGATAAGATTCTTACATTTCCTGTTTAAGAGGACCCCATTAACTAATACAATGATGGATTTTAAACACAAACAAAACATGACAAGTTGCATGACATTTGGTGGCATTTGGCTTGTTCTTATGTGATTTGAGGGCCCAAACTATTGTATTGGCCCTTGCTTTACGGGGCCCCGTTGTGACACATGAACCTCTGCCATGAGTCCATTGTGACTGCTAGCGGCCCTGTGGGACAGACCAGAATTTCCAAGTGTAAAGCTTTGCAGGAGCAGACAGCCTCATCATGGTACTGTTAGTGGAACAGCCGGTGAGTTTGAACTGGCAGCCTGGGGGTGGTTAGCAGCCCGGTGCTTTACTTCCTCTGCCACCAGAGTTCCTCAAATGTAAGAGGAAGCTGATCATAACGTGCCAGTCAGAATGTGGCAGACTCGGAACAAGGTGGTGATCTCTAGGCAGCGAGATAGGGGAAAGTCACTGTGAGAGGCAGTGCCTGCTGTGGACCCTGGAAAGTAGGTATGATCTGAGTGGATCTGTGCCTGGTGATGTAAAGAGCAGTGTGAAGAAGATGTAGACGAATCAGTCGGTGTGGAGATACCTGGGTGATACGCAGGTGGAACATTGGGTAACAGAGTTGGGTGATTAGTGGGGTCTTGAGTGCCAACCTGAAAAATATATATGTGGTTCAGAACCATGAGGAACAGTTGAGGATCGGTTAAAAGGGGAACCCGTGTGATTGATTCCCTATGTGTTTGAGAAAGAGGAATTTTATATTGATTATCAGATGGTGTAAAGGAAGCCATATTGGAAACCGAGAGGAAAGAAAACTATTTTAACAGGTGGAGAAAGGAAAGGCCCAAACCTGGATGGAAACTGGCCTTTAAGATCAAAAAGAGAGAATGGATTTCAGATGAAGAGGGAGAATCTCCTGGACTTGTCAGGTTGTAGGAGAAGGAAGGGAATGGAAAAGAGGAGTTGAAACTGACCCAGATTTTGAACTTGGGTGAAGGTAGCGTTCACTGGTGACAGGGAGGAGTTTGGGGAGAGATGAGATAGTTCGGGTAGAAAAAAAATCTTGAGAACTTCTTCTTTCTCAGAATCCATTCTGTGGAGAAGAAATGAAATTTGTCAGCATAATGTATTCATTTGTTGATTCTATTTGACAAATGTAACTGTCTCTTGGAGCTCTCTTCGTGACCTCTTGGGGCTCTGTAGTAACTTCACACTAGCAGATCCAAGAGGGGTATTAAGGACACAGCTGAAGGGTGTCTGTCAAATCTACAGAATTTCCTTCCTGTCTTAGGTGACAGCTGGACTTCTGATTGTCAATAGCACTACAGTCCCGAGTACAGTAGGGTCATGAACACTTCAACTTTGCTGAGAACGCTTTCATTTGTCTGTGTGGTCCTGTGTTTCTCCAGTCCCGAGGATTCTTCCCTTGTATGCATTTTATTTAATCTACTTAGCCTCCTTAAGTCATCAACAATGTGTGCTTTGTTCTGCAGTCAGTAATGCTTTTGTTCTTCTGCTGCTCTCTGAGAGAGGCCCAGTGTCCTGGATTCGCAGTGCTCCTGGCCTGAAGCTCTTAGCCTGTGGATTCCTCATGTTGCCACTTCACCCTTGGCCCCTTCGATGTACGTTCACCGTGGTTTCTGCAGAAGTTTTTCATGTCCCAGGAATTTCATTAGGAGCTGTGGGTCCTCCGTGACTTCTTATTCACATTGGTATTAGCAGTGGAAGTCAGTCAATCATTACAATCAACTTCTATCCAAATTTGAATAATCCAAATACTGCCCCAGAGCCCACCCGGTGGTGCAGTGGGTTATGCATTATGCTGATGGTCACACGGTCAGTCGTTCCAACCCCTAGGCCGCTCATGGGAGAAAGACAAAGCTTTCTACTCCTGGGAAGATTGCAGTCTCCTCCTATAAAGATCTACAGCCCTAGAAACCCACAGGGCGGTCCTACTTTGTCCTACGAGGGCACTCATGAGTCAGAATTGACTCTCTGGTGCCGAGTATTTTGGGCCTTTTGTGAGAGGAGCTAACAATTTCAAAATACATTCTAATGTTTTCTTCCTCCCCAGAAGTTGTTCTTTAAGTATGTTATCTGTAAAAATTGATGATCTAAGAAAATACACTTCTAAGTTTGTCTAACCACACATTATAATGCATCACCTAGAGGTGGTTGTGAAATAGAATAATGCTCAGATTCAAGCCATGAATAAAAAGTAGTCTCATTGGCTCAGTTAATTGTAAAGAATGATCACCATTTGGTTCACTTATTTGAAACTTTGCAATATAGTGTAATACATTGGAGAATTCATTTTTTAAATAATAATAACATGTTGACATATTTAAACTATAAGGCAAGGGCCAAAACTTTGACCCATAATTCTGGATTAGGCCTTAGATTGTTTATAGTCTGAATTAAGGCCATTTTCAACTTTTATACATTTCCCCCGCCCCCCCCAAAAAAAGGAGATTAAAATGCTCAGAAACTGCTGAAATATAAGTACAGGGTTTCATGAGATGTATAAACAGCCTTCACAAAAGAAGCAAAAATCGTGTTGGGAAAGTTGGAGGTGGTCCATGTTCATAGGAGACGTTTCAGAGCGAGAGATCCTTGTCCTTGAAGGCACAGAAGGCTCACACTGAGCTACAGGGACGTGCAAATCTTGACAGCTGAGGAGATGCTGCTTTTAGCCTGAATTTAAGTAAGACCACCTAAAGTGGCTAACTTTTGAATGTCCTTTATTCCTTTGTTATTATTTGTGTAAACTGTATAGTTTTTCTTTCTTCTAACTACTAATTCATCTTTGTCTAAATGACGTGTACTTAAATTCATCTTTGTCTAAATGACGTGTACTTAAATTCATCTTTGTCTGAATGACGTGTACTTACAAGGTTTGATGCCTTTCACAATGATGAAATTGTTACTCTGAGTAACGAGGTAAGTCTACAGTTAGATATGTCTAATCTTATGAATCGGAAAAATCGAATCAGTCTTTGAACAGAAATTGAATTTCTTTTTCCTTACCAGGACCCTCGGTTCAATGCTGAAGTGGACCAAATTACAGGCTACAGGACACAAAGTATTCTCTGTATGCCAATTAAGAATCATAGGGAAGAGGTAAACCAATTTTCCATTTTATAAAAGGTTATTTGTAAATCTTTTTCTGCTTGGAAAAAAATTTTGTTTACTGGGCATATATTTAAAATATTATAGTGCTAAATTAATGATAAAGTCCTTAGATGTTCACCTTGATGTTCTTTATTTAGAGTTCAGTTGAAAGATTCAGTCTGGAGGAGAATGAGCTGTAGTCTTTGATTTATAATTAAATTTCAGATGTCTTTCTCCCCTTTCCCAGAAAATCTTATTCTGATATTATGATATGAAATTATAGTTGAGACTGAAACCAGTTCATTTCATATTAAACTTTAGGTAAGTGTTTAAGCCATTCTCATTTTGTAAATGTGTCTTCTATTGCAGTGGTCCTCAGCTGATATCTTTGGATTCAAAGTGAGGTTCTGAAAAAAATGGGAATGTAGCTAAATCTAAGTAATTGTGCAAAATATGCTGTGAAGTCATGAAATGTAAATGTATGTTGGTTCATATTTTACTTAACTAGAAGATTTTAATTCTGTCAGCACTGTTTCCTCTTTTATACTTATTTAAATAAAGCTAGTCAATATATTATAAATTAAGCTGCATATTTTAAGTGAAGTCTCAATCCTGGTTGTATTTTACAGCTAATTGGGGGAACTTCTAAATAATCGTTAATTAAGGCAGAATCTGTAGGGTGGAATCTGGCTGTATTTCCAAAGCTCCATAAATATTCCTAGTCAGATTTCAGAATCACTCCTCAAAATGTAAACATCGAAAGACTCATAAACAGTGGTTATTAACCTTAATTGCACTTTAGAATCACCTGGGGAGCAGTTTTAAAAACCGTACTGTCTAGAATTCACTCCAGGTCAATTAAATCAGGATCTTTGGGGTGTGGATGCAGGCATTCATGTTTCTGACGGCTCCCGTGTTACTGTAACTATGTAGCCAGAGTTGTGAGTTTCTTCCAAAAGTATTGAAACACTTTTTTGTTCCTTTTTGATTTATATTTATGGCACCTTTTCTGTTGTCCATCTAATTTGTTAACAAGATCTGGAGACATACCTGTTTCACGGTGTTTTCTCATTTATTTTCATTAGTACCGCCTGCACCAATTTCTCTTCAATTCATCCTGTAGTCTTCTCTTCTGAGAATTTTGCTAAATCTGTTCTTCTAAAATATTAATGTGCTTATGAGTCATCTGGGGATCGTATTAAAATGCAGCAGGCTCTGAATTTTGTAGGTCTAGGGCGGGACCTGCGATTTTTCTTTTCTAGCAAGGGCTGATTTCATGCTGATGCCGTTGGTCTGCTGAGCAGTTTCATTAACAGTTTCATTAACAGAGACCAAAATAGGTGCCTTCAAGGTGGTTTCTTGAAAGATGTTACCAAGAGCCCCCAATAAAATGATTAAAAAATACAGATTGTATAAATAAAATGGGAAAACACTGTTACTAATAATATTTACTACTAAAAAGATATGCGTATTAGGTTAATTAGTTCATGATTAATTAACTTATTAATGAATAAGTAAAATTAAAAAGGCCAATCCTGAATGCTGAGGTAGCAATGATGCTAATATGTTATGAATAAGTTTGCCAGTTAGGGCAAATGTAAAATGTCTCTTGAAGTATTTTGGGGGAGTACTTGTGCTAAAAATTTATCTGATGTTTATGTGAAATCAAACTCGATTGAATGTCCTATATCTTAGATGGCAGAAGTAGGTATGAAACAAGGATTTTGATTTTACACAATTAGGGAGAAAACTAGGGCCCACTAGTGCTCAGCATTTGGTAAGTAGTCTTTGAAATCCAGACCCCCCCAAACAACTTTACACTGGCACAAGGACTTGACCCAGATAATGCTCTGATTAGACTCTTCTAAATAGTATGAGTAACCTTGCCAGCCATGTGGTTTAGAGCTAGAGGTCATGAGAATGTGTGACCCTGTCCCTAGGGCAAAGTTGGTGCACTGTGCCTTCTACAAAAGAGTATGCATGTTCTGTACCTTTAAGACTACAACTGAAGATGGCTTAATGTTTTTAAGAGAACAGTTGTGTCGAAGTATAATGTACTTGGGATAAAATTCACCTGTCATAGGTGTGCATGTGATGAGTTCTGACAAATACTTATTATGCAGTCACATAACTACCATGACAGTCAAGATACGGAACGGTTCCAACCCCTCAACCACCCCCCCTTACACACTCCTTTCTAAGCGATCCTCTGCCCTCCCAGACACTTGCCCCACAGTCACTGATCTGCTTCCTGTTACTATTGTTCTGCAGTTCCAAGGATGCCACATCCGTGAAATTCTACTGTATATAGTCTTTGAGTCTAAATTCTTTCATGTATTACAGTGCTTTTGAGATTCATGCATGTTGTACGTAGTTTATTATGGCTTATGACTGCTACAATAGCTTATTCATTCATTTATAAACACTTGTGTTGTTTCCAGATTTTGTCAATTTTGAAGTAAGCTACTATCACTGTTTCTGTTCAGGTCTGTCTGTATATGGAAATAAATTGTCATTTCTCTTGGGCAATTATTATCTAGGAGGGGAATTGTTGGGTAGTGTGGACAATGGTAAGGGAGGGGCCCTGATGGTGCAATGGTTGAAGCACCCGGTTGCCCACCTGAAGATCAGTGATTCAAACCCACCAGTCCATTCTTAGGAGAAAGCTGAGACATTCTGCTTCCATAAAAAATATTTACTCCTTAAGAAACTCTATGGAAACACAAGGAATCCAGGACAGATGATGACCTGGACCAGTGGTGACCTGGAGGGCGGAGGGAGGGTGGGGTAGAAAGGGAGAACCAATTACAGGGATCTACATGTGACCTCCTCCCTGGGGGACGGACAACAGAAAAGTGGGTGAAGGGAGACATTGGACAGTGTAAGATATGACAATAATAATTTATAAATTATCAAGGGTTCATGAGGGAGGGGGAGCAGAGAGGGAGGGGAAAAATGAGGAGCTGATGCCAGGGGCTTATGTGGAGAGCAAATGTTTTGAGAGTGATAAGGGCAACGAATGTGAAAATGTGTTTTACCTAATGGGTGTACGTATGGATTGTGATAAAAGTTGTATGATCCCCTAATAAAACAATTAAAGAAAAAAAAAAGAAACTCTATGGAGCAGTTACACTCTGCCCAACAGGTTACCGTGAGTCACTTGAGTTGATGGCAGTCGGTTTGAGTTAAATTTTTTTGTTTCATTGTGGGTGGTAGTTAAAGCAGATAGAAGAAATGGTGAAATAAAAGAGTTGAATAGAAGATTTGTAAAGGGTGTGTATTAAGAAGATGAAGCGCAGGAAGCACTCACTAGTGTACTCAATCGTATGCCAGGAAATTTGGACAGCAGCCACCTGGCCAACCAACAGAAAGAGTTCCATATTTTTGCCCATTCCAAAAAAAAGTGATCCAATAGAAATGGAAACAATCAAAGAGTATCATTAATATCACATGAAAGTAAAATTTTGCTGCAGGTATGTCAAAAATGGTTGCAGTGTTCCATCAGCAATTCAAGCTTGTTCAGAAGAGGAAGTGGGCTATCATTGTTGATATCAGAGGAATCTTGGCTAAAAAAAAGAATACTATAAGATGTTTATGTGTGTTTTATTGACATTGTTTGGATGTATGTGTCATCAAAAATTATGGATGACATTGGGAAGAATGGGAATTCTAGAACACCTAATTATGCCACGCAGAACCTGTACATAGACCAAGAGACAGTTGTTGGGGCAGAACAGTCACATACAGCTTCGTTTAAAAGGAGGCAAGGTGTTTATCAGGGTTGTATCCGCTCACCATACCTAAGTCTGTATGTTGAGCAAATAATCTGAGGAGCTGAACTATATGAAGAAGAACTTGGCATTAGGATTGGAGGAAGGTTCATTAACAACTGAGATTATGCAAATGAGACAACCCTGTTTGCTGAAAATGAAGCCACCCAGAAGCATTACTGAGCTATAGATTATACTGAAGCGTAAAGAGAACACAAGTCTTCACAACTGGACCAGAAGATAACATCATGGAAAAAGGCAGAAAATACTGAAGTTGTTTGGATCTTATTTTACTTTGGATCCACAATCAGCACCCATAAAAGCGGAAAGGCCAGGCATTGGCTATATCTGCTGCAAACCACCTCTTTAAAGTGTTAACAAGAAAGATACCACTTAGGAGAGGAAGGTGCATCTGACCCAAGCCTGCATCTTTTCAGGTACCTTTCATGCATGTGAAACCGAGACAAGGAGAAGGAAGACCAAAGGGAATTGTATTATGGCAGTCACAAAGGATTTGAAAATACATTGCACTTCCAGAAGACCAAACAAATCTCTCTTGGAAGAAGTGCAGTCAGAATGCTCCTGGGCAGGAAGGCTTCTTGGTCTAACTACTTTGGGACAGGTATCAGGAGAGTGTAGTCTGGAGAAGGACATTGTGTGTAGTGGTAAAGCGGAAGGCCAGTGCAGAAGAGGAGGAACTTCATTGAGCTGCATTGGCACACTGACTACAGTCATGGGTTCAAACATAGCAATGACGGTGAGGCTGGCGCTGTACCAGGCAGTATTTTTCTTTATTGTACATATGGTCACTGGGAATCAGATGTCAGTGATACCTAATGACAATAACATGGTAGATTATGCTAACTTTCAAACTCTTTTCCAAATCACTGGAACACATTTGATTGTAACACAATCAGCAATCTGTTAGATTGGCAATATCATATGAAGCAACTCTAAGTTGCTTCATATGATATTGCCAATCTTTTTAACTTTAGCCATATCATTGGGGGAAATTTGATAGCGTGAATGTGTGACCTAACTTTCAGTCTAGGGCCCCACTGCTCAATGAGAGATCTGACGATAGTGGCTTCCTGAATGCCCCCCTCCTTCTTTTCTTAACTCTGCTCCTGCTGCCTCTTCCTCACCACATGATGACACATGACCACATGATAGCATGTGATGCTTACGCTCGCCATTGGTTTCCACAAAGTCCACTCACACCAACCCCTTCAGGAGAGA